TTCTCCAAGTGCACAGAATAAAACAAAAGAGGGCCATTGCACAGCTTAATCGTTAAAATAAGGGACTTTACTTTAAAAAGTATTTGTATTTCATGTATTATATTACTGTATTTGGCCCGCTGCCCTGGATAGATTTTCATTTTGGCCCCCTCAGGGAAAATGTTTGGGCACCCCTGCTGTAGCAATTAAAATATTGTCAGGATCTATGATTTTTTGTCCTTTATTTACTTTGATTTCTTTCATGGTTTATGTTCTAGAGGTGTAAAAATATACACTGAAATATTGCAGTATTTCATTTCCTGATACTGTAGTGATTCTCAAAAGCACTGTATTGATTTTTAATTGAGATTTAAAGTATAAACGTTCGTGCTAGCGGTTCATTTCTGTGTTGTATTTTAGCCTCCGGCCACTGGTTGGCAGCAGTCAGTCAGTTTGTTGTTGTAAGAAGATGTGAAATACAAATGCGGCTCTCACTGTTCTTCAGTGTTCTTCTGATTGCATAAAAATAAATGGAATTTAATCAGATTTTATGCATATAATGCATGGTGTGCTCTCTTTATACTGAGTTAAACAAAAATAGAATCTATTGAGGAAAAAATGGCATATATTACAATATATTGTGATTTATCATATTGTGCCCCTTTTTTATGTTCTGGGGTATTGTGTTTTGAGTTTTGTACTTGTGTTATCAGTTTGAGCTGTGATCTTAGTATCTCTAGTTCAGATTTTGATCACGCTCTTTGTTCCTCCCTTGTAATCCTTGTCATCAGGTCAGTTTCTCCTGTCAGCTCCTGCCCCGCCCACTCTCACCTGATCCTTGTTGTCTTTCCCAGGTGTTTGTTATTTCAAACTCGTTATTGTTTCTTTATGTTCTGTGTTATTAGCTCCCTGTCTGTTCATTGTGTTTCCCATAACTGTTCGTTCCTTTGTGTTCCTTCAGTAAATAATTCCTGCACTCTTAAAACAGATGTGTTAAAATCAACACAAACTGAGTCAAAACTCAACACAGCAATGTGTCTATATAAGGACAACACATTTTGTGTTCAATTTGACACATTTAATGTGTTAATCATTTCAACACAACAGCTGTGTTAATAATTTTAGCACAGTTACTGTGTTCCTTTAACACACTGACTGTGTTAAAGGAACACAGTCAGTGTGTTAAAATTATTAACACAGCTGTTGTGTTGAAATGATTAACACATTAAATGTGTCAAATTGAACACAAAATGTGTTGTCCTTATAYAGACACATTGTTGTGTTAAAACATGTGCTAAATGTGATAAATAAAAAATGGAACTCATCTTGTAGAAAATAAACTTTTATTGTACACTTTAACATTACTATGGACAATAAAATCACAGCATGTTAAGTTCATGTGCTCAACTTCTTAAAAACACTTTAAAATGAACACATCTTTAAATTGTTTAACCGTTTAAAACTTCTTTGACTTTAAAACAAACCATCTTTTTAACTTTTCTCTATACAAAACCAACTCATTTCTCACATGTTCCAAAACATTTTAAGGATAAACAACAAAACTCATTTAGGTTAATACATTACAATAACAGTGCTTTGTCTCATTTTAGATCAGAAGAGCCCAAAGCGGGGCCTGCGGGCCAAATTTGGCCCGCCAAGCCATTTGATTTGGCCCACCAACAGTTGCCAAAGTTACAATGTTGTAACCTGTCATCCTATGTAGAAACACAGTGTTTCCATTGGTCAAATGACTATATAAAGAGGCTGTAGTGAAGGTAGTTTTCATTCATGGTGCTGACCTTATCTTTGATTTATTAGGATTAAACATGAAACATGAAGTAACAACAAGAGATATTCAGATCAGATTTAACCCCACATGTAGATTTGCACACTTTGTAAGGCCACAAAACTCATATTTTATCAATTTATAAAACGTCCCATGAGCCTTTGAGCGTATGGCAGACTTTCTCCAAGTGCACAGACAAAAACAAAAGAGGGTCATTGCATAGCTTAATCGTTAAAAATAAAGGACTTTACTTAAAAAGTATTTGCATTTCATGTATTATATTACTGCATTTGGCCCACAGCCCCTGGATAGATTTTCATTTTGGCCCCCTCAGGGAAAATGTTTGGGCACCTCTGTTTTAGATCATCTTAAACAATTTTGTACCTGGGATTCAAGTATAATCTGTCTCCCTGGAAACATGTCAGGCTTATTGGTCTGACATCAGCAATGTCATTTATATTAACCACTTCATAGACATCAGTCCAAGAGACTGCATGGGCATAGAAATGGTCGTCAGAATACTGAACAGACAAACATCTGAGAAACAACAAATAACCTTCACGTTTTAGAATGATGTGAACTATTTCGCCAAAAAACAAGTTCACCTCTTAAATCATATTTAAGAGGGACAACAGCCCCTGGTCTGTAGGTCTGACCAAACACACTAATTGTGTGTGCAACATGGATAGTGCTTGAAATGCCAAAATCTTCATTCTCTGATTGCAACTTTTCAATGAGCAAATTGCTGTGTTCTAGAGCAGTGGTTCCCAAAGTTGGGGTCAGGACCCAAAGTGGGGTCCCGAAACATCAAGGTGGGGTCCTGAAAAGATTTTCTGAATTAATTACATTTTTGCCTTAGTTGTTACAAAGGAGTGAAGTTAGTATATTTAAAATGGATAAATGTAGTATAAAAATATTGTTACTATGCCCATGTTTTGTTGACCTGATACAAATGTTTATCATCCAAAAACAGCTGGGGGCACAGGTCTCTGCTACTGTTATTTTGTGGGTCAAAAGCTGAAAAGTTTGGGAACCACTGCACTTTGGTTCCCAAAGTTGGTCTTGGGACCCAATTATGGGTCATGRAGCACCTTGGATAATCTCCAGAAATCAATTTAAAGGGTAATAAAATAATTGCTAATGTAATATTGTCCCTTTAATTATTACAAAAACACAAAAGTAAGTATAAACAAGTATTTATATTTGTGTACAAGCTGTTTAGATTGTCAAAAGCCTGTGTTTTAGGGTTATTAACAAAGTTTGTGTACTCAGACCTGTAATATTTGGGGCCACAAGTTTTTGCCGTGGATATTTTGTGGGTCAGAAGATAAAAAGTTTGGGAACCACTGTTCTAGAGAACCATGACTGGAACGTCAGTTGGAACTGTGATTTCTTTAGCTAGTGGACTGCCAAGTTTCCAGCTGTACATGCTCTGTATTTGATTCTTATAAGCCAGTGTTTTGGACATGTTCTTAAAGTTACAGACTACATGTGCTTGACGTTTCAAAGGACAGTGTTTACTTTCAAACCTCATGCACCACAACTTAACATGAGGTCCAAACATTACAACCATTCTTCCATATTGAATCATGAAATGGTGCTTTGGGATTAAGGGCCTTACTGTATACTTTGCTGCCTCGTCAGCCTTGTTCTTTCTTTAATTAAAGTATTTCAAGTACTCCTGAGTTCCTAAGTTATGTGTCTGCACTATGGGTTCAAATATTCCTCAAAACTTGATAAATATGTTATAATCACATCTATGCAGGGTTTATATGAAACACATCCTTATCATTAGAAGCCTCGAGATACTGTCTCTTTTTAAGGAGCATACAGTTTAGGGGAATTCCTCGTTCGGCCGCCATACACAACTAAACAGCTCAGAGGAACAAGTAATAGAAGGGGAGTGTTGCTCAGACCAACATACTTCCACAATTAAACAGAGAACCAGTCCAACTCCTCTGAAATAAAAAAAAAACAGGCTTAAAGTATGTGCAAATATTTGGAGGAGTGGGGGTGCAGAAGTGATGTGATGGGGAGGTTGCAAGCTCAAATCATCAGACTGGCACAAAACAATGGGTGGGAAAGGTGAAGCCCCCCCTACATCTGCCTCCACCTGCTCCCCAGGTGTCTTATATACCAGCCCTCTGCTCCAATTTGTGCTCACATATGCGACTGGAAAATTGTCAAGTATGAATTTTCCCTCTGAGTAGAAACTAAATACCTTTTGTTGTAATGATCCTCCATTGACAAAAGAGAATTTGTAACCTGTTTTCCAGTCCTATTCTGCAGCTGCTAAGATATCAACTGGTCATAACTTTTCTAGAGAATCCTTCTTCAGAATGTCGGAACTGACCCCTTTTTTTTTTTTACAGAAAACCAAAAGTGAAAGATTTAAAACGAGCTTAATTTGCTCAGTGTTTACAGGAACCAGGAGGTCCTGCTGTCGGAGGAAAAACGTGATGATGATAAGAAAAAAACAACAATTTCTCAGACTTTTACAGGAAAGGACTGGTGCATTTAGAGTCAGGTTTCTGTGTAAGAACACAAAAAAAACCTGGAGTGGAAAGTTTATTCAGCTGCTGCCAGTGTGTTTGTGCAGTGTGTGTTTGTGCGGTGTGGGTCTGTGGTTGTGACACTGGTGTTTGTTTTTTTTTTCAGAAAAGCCATCTGTAAAGAAACATCACTGTTTGATAGATGAAGGTATTTGTCTTCCTGCTGTTAATATTCTGGGTCAAACCAAGATGCCTGTTTTTGTATAATGTGTGTTTTTGTCCAGAATGCAGTGTGTGTAGCTTGTGTGTGTGTGTGTGTGTGTGTGTGTGTGAGTCAGGCTGAGGTCAGAGGCTGTCCTGTACTTCATGGGAAATGCAGTAGTGCTGACTGCGCTGACCTTTTCGTTTTCCCATCCATCCTTCCCAATAAGGAGGTGAATTTTAGTCAGCGATACTCTGACTAACATAGTGGAAACCCCCATCCTGCTAACTAACGGTCACAGAGATCATTCATCTTCCCACTCACCCTTCAAGCTTTTGTGTCTCTGTTATGTCTGTTTTCTGTTGTCACAGAAAAAAAAACTTACTTTTTCCAATAACTTCACAAATCTTTCCCTGCAGACAGATTCAGAAAGTGTGGCTGAAGGACTTTCTTTTTACCAGCTCTCTTTATCTGTCTGAAGCAGTTCTCTCATATTGTTGTCACTCTCATTTAAATTCTTATTCTACCACTGAATTTGTTATTACTGTCCATCACTAAACGGCAGAGGCAGACAAAATATCTCATGAATATCTCACTCGGGCAGAGAATCGGAGTGTCTCCTGACCAATCACCTTAATAAACTCAGCTACCATTTGATGACAGCGAACCTGAGCACAAAATAAATCTCAATTAGGCCTGTCACGATAGGCAATGAATCAGTTAATCACACTATGAATTAAAATAAGGTTAATTTTCATTTGCCTGCTTGTTTGTTTTCTATCTCCTTCTTTTCGACTCCTCAGCGTAGGGAGGAGTAAACTCACGTCGGGTATTTTCCAGGTGCATGATCTCTAACCTCTGTAGCATGAGAGCCCTGTGAACAGGCATTTAGCTAAAGGAGCGTCTTCAGTTTTCAACCCCTTATTTCAGCTGGCGACGCCTCAGGACGCCCTCAGGGTATCTTGCCGAACTTTGTGTTTTTTTTCTCTACATAAATTTTGAAAACTTAATAAGCAGCGTGCGGGTGACTGCAGTTTCTTTTATGAAGCCAGAAGAAGACATAAAGATTAAATTACACGTACGTAAATTTCATAAACTTCTGTAAGCTTTGTAAGCAGGGGAGGGGCTGATGGTGGTATCATTATACTAGTTTAAAATGGTCTCCAAACAATATTATCGTTTATCACAATAATTTTTGAGACAATTTATCAAACAGCAACATTTTGTTATCAAGACAGACCTAATCACAATTAAACACAAAACCAACCATATCTGTTCTCACACACACACTTCAAGGCCCAACATCAAAACCATGTTCAATGACCAGATTTGGAACAACAACCAATTACACATAAAAAACAGTCAATAGGCTAATTTAATTTAAAACAAATACAGCAGTTTTAAATATGACTGATGACCCCTGTTCCAAATATACTTTAATAAGCTACAAAACAGAACTGCAGGAACTTGAGAAAAAACATTCGTATTAGGGCTGTGTATTGGCAAGAATTTGGTGATATGATACATATAATGACGGGTCACGATACTATATAAAAAGTATCTTAATGTTTATTTCATGGTTTGATAATATATTTGTGGCAGCTTTTTAGATTTAACTTATCATACAAATATGATCACCCAACACAACAAACAGCCTGTATCTTGTGCTAAAGTTCAATAAACGGATCAAATGAAGTTGCTACAGTCTTAAAGTATGTGCAAATATTTGGAGGAGTGGGGGGCGCAGAAGTGATGTTTCTGTCTTGAGGCTCCTTTCACTTAAGGTGGGAGGCATGGGTACAACAATCATTTCAATGCACTCTGTTTCCTATGCTCGTTGCATTTAGCCACTTCAGAACCATGCCTCAGGGACCCCCTTCAGCTCGGGGAGCTAGACAAATGACTGCCTGCTTGCCGTATTGTGATGGCTGGCTGCAGGCGGGAGAAAGAGCATGGAACACTTTTCGGTTTAAAATACACAACATCCCAGCTAATACAGGACAGTTGGTTACTCTACCTCAGCTTTGAAGGCAGCAGGTTTTGGTCTAATCCACTCAGATTTAGCCATCAGTACTTAATGCTAACGTTTACTCACAATGCTAATGTTTAAGCTAGATTTACAGCGGGTAAAATAAGTATTGAACACGTCACCATTTTTCTCAGTAAATATATTACTAGAGGTGCTAATGACATGAAATTTTGACCAGATGTCGGTAACAACCCAAGTGATCCAT